TTTTTCCCAACCGGCCGTATCTTAAGTAATGACTTTCACGGCGAACTCCATCCACCCCTCGCGCGGTGGCCACGTTGTCGAGGTTATCGTTGCTCTTCTTCCTTTTTTCTTACGTCCGAGAATCATCTCGTCGATTTCCCCTCGCAAAGTCGAGACAAATTAATCGATCGAACGCTTGACAAATTATCATCGATCGAATTCCTTCTGGGCCGTTTTTTCCACGGGCGAGTTTCAAATTCCCTTCTCACCCCTTCTTTTCCTCCCTTACGCGTCTTCCTCGTTCCATCCTCGTAATCAGAAACGCAGCCCTCCGGAGCAATTTTACCCCTTTGTTGGTATAAACGGCCGGGTCCAGCCCGAAAATCAGGCGACAACCCTCCCCCTTCCAATCCTTCCTCCCACGATCCCTCGTCCTGTTCGCCCACGCGAGCTTCTTCCACCCCGTTCGTCGCGGTGAGCTTCTCGTCCTTTCCGTCATTCTCGACGCGGGCTGCCGGCGGAACGTCAACTATCAACGGCCAGACAATAGCGTGATTAGGGCACAATGTCGTCCCCCCTTTCCCTCTCTCTCTCTCCTTCTCCGCCCTTCGCGATTGCCAGCGGGCTGCGCATCTCTTCCCGTGTTTCTCCCCGCCACGGATGCATCGTTTGCCCGTGCACGCGGCCACAAAAGGACACGCCGCCTCGTCCGAACCTACGCCCTGACGTCACGAGGATATCTCCTCTCCTTTCTCTCCAAAGAACCGGAAGCCATTGTGCATAACGCCCCCTCTCCCTCCGTCTGCCTGTGTCCCTTCGGTTTGTCGTCGCCGTGTACCGAGGGAGTGTTGCACCGCACGCCTGCGGGACGTCAACCGAGCATTAAGTTGATGTATGAGCTCCAGACCCGCGACGCGCGATGTCTGCCCGTTTACCCGCGCTCCCCCCGTCGACCGACTCCTTTTCGCGCCGCTCCTTTTCTCTTTTCCTTCCCCAAAGAGAACCACACCCCCTCAGGGCCGACAACCAACCCCTCCCTCTCTCAACGTTCGCCCCAACCAACGTGTTTCGGACATTCCCCGAGTCGGTTGCGATCTTTCCTTTGAACGGATACATCTTGGATATATCTTTACGAAGGATAATCCGTGTATAAAGGAGGCGTGGGGGTTGATTTTTTTGTTTTCTTCTGCGAACTTTCTTTCCTCCGCGCGAATCGAGAGAGAGATTGATTAAAATCGTGTCTCGTCAGATTATTCCCTTCGCCGCGAAAGGGTTGACGTAATTGGTGGAAGCACGCGGCCGCTCGCTCGAGCGGTTTACGTCTATCCTATGATAGGCCGCCGCGTCAAACACGCTCGTACATCGAGGGGATGTTTCGATCCTCCGCCTTCTCCGTGTTCCATCCGGATCGAAGGGGGAAGATTAGGTCTCTGTTTGGGGAGCTGATTAGTCGAGCCCCGTTGCAAATGGCGATTCTCACCGCTTTCGATCCTTTTTCTCTCGCATACTTATTTTCTCTCCCTCTTGGAAGTTTTTGGAGGTCGAACTTGGAGGCTTTTTCAGGTTTCGAAGGAAGGTAAGAGGTGGAATTTTGTATAGTGAACGAATTGTTGTCGATGTCCAGCTGTTATTATTCGTGTCTATACGAATTCTAGGAAATTGAGAAAACGAACCGTTGCAACGTACCTCCTATTCTTTACTCTTCGATCATCCTCTCAATTTTCGATAATAGATCAAGAACGGAGAACGTACCTTTATATATATATATATATCTCGCGACAGATATATGCATCGGTTCTTGAACTACGATTACGTAGCGGTGCACCTCCTCGCACGCTAGAGTCGGAACACGCTCGAGAATTTATAAATACTCTGCTAAAAATAATAATCCACTCTTCCTCTGCCGGTCATCGAATCATATTCACCATTCGATTTCCTCCGTTCGTTTCTATCTTGCAACGAGGAAGAAGAAAGAAAGAAAGAAAGAAAGAAAAATAGAAAAAATTGTTTCACGAATAAATAAAGTGGTATGTTGTATACACGTGCATGCAACGTGACTCGTCGACCCGTGTCGTGTATTACTCGTCCTCGAAGAGGAGAGATTGGGTCGAGCCAAGAGAGAGGAGATCGTTGGCTTTTCTCGGGGCAAAGAACGGATGGATGGTTGGTCTTCTCAACCACCCGGGGGGGTTGCGTAACGCGAACTTCGGATGCCAACTTGGCACGAGTCAGGAAGAGGAAAGGTGCGCGAACAAGACTAGCATCGTGGAGAGGAGGAGCGCGAGAAAAGGGAGGGATGCGTTTTTTGCGGCTCACCTCTCTTTCCCTCCCTCCCTCCCTCCCTCTTTTCCCACCAANCATCCTCGACTGAATTTCGGCTTTGCGAGTCGAAGTCGTTGCGAGAACGTTGCCTTCGTCTCGACGTTTCGATCCAACTTCTCTCTAGCTCGATGGATCAGCTAGATGGAGGAGAGGGGAGGGGAGAGTTACACTTGCGCGATCCCAACCCCTTGTACACCCCTCGAAAATCTTGCGGTGGTCTCAACGATCTATCATCGTTGGAGAGAGAGAGACGCCTCCGCAACGATTTTATCGGATCTCTTACCGGTTCTATCGCGACTCCCGTGGCATACCGTAA